GTGTGCGTGCGTGTGTGTGTGTGTGTGTGTGTATTTGTGTTTGTATTGGGGGGGGAAGAGTAGGGGGGGAGGACGGGAGAACGGGAGGGGGAAAGGTAAGTGGGCGGTGCATGACAAGAAGGCCGAGAATTCGCCGCAATGTAACTAGCAACTAACAACTAACAACAAACAACAAGCAACGGGATTCGGGGTGAGGTGGCAAGGTTAGATAGGGGGATGGTGCAGAGCTTGGACCACACTCACTCAACACCCCAAAAGCACGCGGCCCTCGCCCCCCGCTATCCCCCACTTTACAGAAGGCTGCCTCCGCTTCTGCTGTTGCCCCTGCCAGGTAATGTCCGAGGGTGGGGGTGGGGGTCGGGCGTGGGGGTGGGGGTGTGGGGGGTGGGGTGGGGTGGGGTTGAGCGGGACCATCCGGACCGCCGGTACCACCTCCACCCCCACCCCCACCCCCAACCCCACCACGATACCAATCATGCAGTAGAGACCTCCCGGGGACTAGGACCTCCCCCTCCTCCCCCCCCCTCCTCCCTCCTCCCCCCCCTCCCCCTCCCCCCCCTCATCATCATCACACCACCTGTGGTTGTGTTGCTACATGCCCTCTGATACATACTACAACTGGATGACTAAGATAAGATCCATAAAGTAAATACAGAAAAAAAGGACACGTACAAGCCGTGAAACCTCCATGTCGTACACCCACGCCGTATACCCATGCCATGTAAAATGCTACTGTCCGGTGCCCTCAGGTGCCCTCAGGTGGCCTCAGGTGGCCTCAGGTGGCCTCAGCGGGAATGACCGACCCGCAACGAGCTGTTGGGGTGATGGCGCAGGTAAGCTTAGGTAGTTGTAGGTAGTTATAGGTAGTTGTAGGTAGGACACAACAAAAGCATATTAATATCGCATATCAATATATACCCGATAGACAGGACAGGTCGTACACTCACCATGATGTACTGCGTCGCCTGAGCCGCCACGGCCGGCTCGGGGGGGTTTAAAGCTGCGAGGCACACATACATACACACATACATACACACATACAGACAAAAAACACAACACAGAATGATTCAACACGTGATGGGGAGGGTCGGGGAGGGTACGACGAAGCACAGACGATTGAAGGGGAGAGGAACCACCGTAGATAGATAGATAGATAGATAGATAGATAGATAGACAGCTGCATACTGGATACACTGGATACGAGATAAGACCAATAAAGCAAGGAAGTAAAGATGTAGGGTAGGGTAGTACCGACCCGTAGAGCCCTGGGAGTGTGGTCGGGTCATCACGACAGCGTGCGCAGGTGGATTAGGAAACGAGGACGAGGCTGCCGAAACTGAGGAAATGACTGCCTAGCCGCCGAGGTGAAGAGAAAAGAGGTATAGAAGAACAGAAGAGCAAAGCGAGGCCGTGGAGGTGTCGGGGAGGATCGGGAAGGGTCGGGGGAGAGTGCGACCCGACTGTGCGACCCGGACATACCCTCTCTCCCCGGAGGGGGGGCTCCCCGGGGGTTGGCCGGGTCGTGAGAGGGGGGATTCTCATCTTGGGCTCCAAGAAACCACGTACCCTTTCCCCGGCCCCCCCTGCCGTGTCAAGAGTCCGCTCCCACCCACCCGCGACAATGTTAGACGCCCCCAGGCCCACAGCCGCCGCAGTCGCCACGCCGCACAGCAGCGCCACCCACATGCTCTGAGCTGCCACCCGTGATACCTGCGGCAGTAGCAGGTAGTGGGAGGTGTAGCAGCAGCAGCAGCCGGAGCAGTAATGTATGTGTATGTATGTATGTATGTATGTATGTATGTATGTATGTATGTATGTATGTATGTATGTATGTATGTATGTATGTATGTATGTATGTATGTATGTATGTATGTATGTATGTATGTATGTATGTATGTATGTATGGGACAGGGGGGCATACCTTCACCCGTGGCCGCTACCCGGCGAAACCCTGTCAACTTCACAATGGATCGCTCAGGTTCCGCACTCACCACCGGCATCCAACGGAATCTGCCGGATCGAAGGCGGCCCAACTCCGTTCCTGGTCAGCTCATAGGTCAACTTTATCGCAGGTCAACACCGTCCATCGACTATGGGTACATTCACCTTCCACCATCGGAAGAAATTTTCGACCCTGACAGGTCTCGATCCCGGGATCTCCCGGGGGCAGTGGTCCGTGCTCTACCAGTACATGTATGCATGTACTTCCCCGCCCCCCATCCTCCCAGGCCCCTTCTCCACCTCCCAGCCCCACCTCTTCATCGTCCTTCTTAACCACCGCCGCAGCAATCTCCGGGACGGTAAGAAACAGCAGAAATGAGAACAGGAAGGTGCAGGAATTGAGCGCCACTGTGCCCAGCGATACGGCACTCAGTTGATGTGTCCCCAGGTGACCCACAAGACCTGAACACATAGAATGGCAGGGGAAGAGAGGGAGAAGAGGAAAGCGGAGATGATGTGGGAGGCGGGAGGATGGATGTGGAAGCGACAGAGATGCACACACGCACCTGCGTTGAAGGCGTTCACTACAGGTTCCAGGGCAAGGCCTACAAGAGCTGGAAAAGCGACTGCGGCGATCTCCTTGTCATGCGGTGAGGACAGCGCCTGCCTGGCCTGCTGCAGGCGATGCCTAATGGATGTGCCCAGCGAAGGCTCTTGCCCAAAAGCGTCCGAGGCCGCCAGAGCTGCTGGCGGTTTTGTAAGTGAACATGTTTTTTGATGATGAGGGCATAGCAGCTGGTGGGGACACAGTCGTTGGCAGGGTGCACGCCGCGAGGTTATACGCCTTCCGAGACATGGGAGCCGCGAGCCGCACGGTTCTTGCCGTGCTGCAAAGCGCGGCGAGAAGCCCTGGTGGCAAGTCCACGCCGCCATAACCAACTGCCCTCGATTGACCTTTAACGGCCAGCGACAGCTATTTGACCCGAACTCGGAGATAGTGACTCAGCCGGTAGGTTCTCTGCGACAAAATTCAACACGACGTCGCGTGCACATACAGATAAAAGTCCTATAGAAGAAATCCCTGTAAATTTCGGGAATCTCAGTTCGTGTGTATGCTGTGGAAGCAAAAGTTTTATTGGCTTCAGGAAGACTTCTAAGAATCAAGCGTCGGTAATATTATAACTATATGGCGCTACTTGTAAGCTAACCACATATTTTTATAAGTAAGCGGCTCAGATGCAATTGCGGGCTTTTCGTGTGGTGGAGAGGGTGCCAAGGCCAGCCCATGGATCTTAGTTCTATCTTCTGGAAGTAGAGTTAGATAACTAAATAGATTAAAAATTTAATTTAAATGGTCTGGGCAAACGGCTTGCCCCCAGGTAAAACGGCGCTTGAACTTGAACCGCGGGTCTGCTGTTATGGACACCTTCACCATCGTCCAGGTGGACTGTATCCATCCTCCCGGACACAGTCATCATTAGAGACACATTGATGCTATGTTTCGTTTTGTTACTGATGCATACGCGCATACGCGCGACGCTGGCCGTGCCGTCCATCATGGTTGCGTATCGGAACGGAGGAGGTACACCTAGACGTCATGCGTCGAGAAATTTCCGCTGGTTCGGGGGTTACGTGTGGATTTCTCCTTAAGGGTAACAACACCATTTGGTTCCCGCATGCTGTGTCGTTCATGTGTCGTTCAAGCCTCGTACAGCAATACTGCGGTGAGTTACACACCGGGTTCGTACAAATAAAGCTGCAGTAAGTTGTTAATGAAGTTGACCATGCAATCCGCGCGTATTGCTTTCCAGGGTAAGGTGGTTTTCCCATCCGTCCTGTGCGTATCCTGTTACGGTGCACCGATAGAACACTTTGTTATATCAGGACTTCAGAAAGGTACGATCGGGTCTGTCACATCAATACCGGACGAATCGCCGAGAGGACGCGCGGAAAGATCGCTTCTTCTCACCATCCTTGGCGAGTGGTGACAAAAAAGTGACAGTAGTTCTGCACTTCATCCAAACCGAAACATTGAAACGATTACACCAGATGATTTGCAGAAGAGAGCCGTATCGAGGGATTAACACAAAGGGACGAACGACATGGCATCCCTGGACTGCCGGACTGCCCGGACGGTGCATGCATGTGTGTTTCATCAAGCAATCACCCGCTCTCTTCTCCCCACTCACCCTAACGGTTGGCAATGAGAGCCACACACTGCAAAGCAATGTGCAAGCCTGTCCCGGACACAGCACTCCAACACGCGCGCACAGGAAAACATTCACACGCATGAAAAAGCTAGGAGGGTAACCTGGTCTTGGGACGTTTCTCTCCGTCCCTCCTCCTTCTCTTTACTTACCAGCTCTTCGTCCCTCTCCTCCCTCACCCTACCCAACATCCACATAGCTGCCCGTTTTCCCATCATGCACAACACGCAACGGTTCATCGAAGCCCGTGTCGGCAGCGATGTCAGAGTCTAGGGGGACGCAGCTAACCTCACCACCACCCACACCCTTACCACCATCATTGGAGGCACCATTATCGTATCACGACATCACACACACACACACCGCCTTCTGTGCACACGGCCCTGCATACTCCAGTGGACATTGTTCGTCTGTATGACCGTCGTGCCTGTATGTAGAGCTGCTGTTGCTACTCGTGCTGCTGGCTCTATACTGACCCTCAATTCCAGGTGGGGCAGCTGCCACGGATATCACGATGCGGAGACCCGGGTTGCGGAGATAACAGTTTCACTTTAGTACTGCTAAGGACCGATCTGGGCACAAAATACACACACCCACACAGATAAGAAACACAGACATACAGACAAACATGTGGGTTGACTCCCGGGGGGGTTGAGGAAATACCTCGCCACTTCTCCTCCAGCTTCACTGTCTGCGTCCTCCACCTCTTCGTCCTGCTGCCGCTGCTGCTGCCGCTGCCATTCCAAATTGTGCGACGGTCACTGCAGCTACAAGAGCTGCTGATGGTGCTTCTGCTGGACCACCCGCATAACTGGCAGCAAAACTGGCAGATTCTCCCCTCTCTTGGCAAAACTGAGACACCTCGGTGCAGCTATATTCTTCACACGCCTCCATGCGTGAAACAAAACAAAGTCTCCGTCAGGCCTTGTGTTTATCTTCTTCATCATCTTCAACCCTTTACACACGTCCGCTCAACCCTCCCGCGATTTTCTACATTCGCAACTCGCAGTGCACTTTACTTTACTGAAGCTGCTACTGCTTGCTGCTTCCGTGCTTCGTCGGTTAGCTTTAGCTTAGCTTTACTTGAGCGACTTTGACGCGATCTCAAACACGTTCTCGCTCAGCCCAGGATGCGCCACAATGCGCTCCAGCTGAGCACGCATCATGGCTTGTCGCTCCGTGTCATACTGCCGCCAAGTGCTGAAGGCCGAAACCATGCGGGCTGCCACCTGCGGGACGGTTTTAGGGTTTTGGCGGTTTCGTGGGCGTTTAAGAGTGTTTTAATTTAACTGCTTTAGGACGTCTAACTGTAATTTAAGGATTATGTATACCAACATTATTGAGGCTTCGGTTAGGAACCAGATGTACGGATTTCGGGTTAGTTGTGGAATAACGACAGGTGGCTGTTAAGGATTGACTGCCCACCGGACTTTACCCCCCCCTCTCTCTCACACACACACACACACTTACACACACACACTTACACACACACACACTCTGTAGCCCTGCAGAGCGGAGCACCTCTACTGGCGGGCTAACACAAACCGTCGTACACAAGTACGGAACCAAGTCCCCCCAACGTCCGTGGCATGTGTCGTACCTGGTGGTTAATGCCGTCCACCCGAAGTACGGCATCCCCCATGAAGGCGTAGCCCGACCCGTCCGCCGCGTGGAAATTGACGGGCGACCGGCCGAAGCCCAGGAACAGCGAATAGCAGTTGTTGGGGTTCGTGATGTTGAAGGCTGGGTGCTCCACCAAGGTCTTGACCAGGCCCACATTGCCAGGGGCGTTGCTGGTAGCCTGGGTGGGTTGGGATGGGTTGGGTTGGGTTGGGTTGGGTTGGGCTGGGTTGGGTTGGGTTGGGGTGTTTAGTGAACTGAAATTACATCATAAACAATACACAATTGTCAAAGGGTGCGTTGGGTGGGGTGGGCTGTGGTGCGGTGGGCGGAGAGCGAGGAGGATTGATTGTTGGGGTGGAGGGAGGGATGGGTTGGTTGGTTGGGGTCAACGGAAAGGCAGGAACAGGAGGTGCAGCAGGAGGAGGATGACGAGTAGGGGAGGGGAGAGGGGAGGGGGAGTGAAAGGGAGGTTGTGAATCTGAGTGGGGGTTGGTTCGGTGGGGGGAGGGAGTGGGTTCTGAGTTGTCAAAAAGAGTTTATAAAAACACTCCGGAGCGTGCCCTGCCTCCCTCCCTGCCTCCCTGCCTCCCCCACTCCCTCCTACCTGCAGACCGAGCCACTTGAGCAACACCAGCGGTTCGTTCCTGAACTTGTCGTAGAAGGCCGCCAGGGCGATGTCCCTCTCAGGTCCCGCGAGCTCCACCAGACAGCTCAGAGCGGCGATCTCGTCCGTCATGTTGGTGGCGGCCCTGACGACGAGTACGAGTACGAGCACGAGTACGAGTACGAGCACGCGTACGAGCACGAGCACGAGTACAGGGTTCATGAGGTGGGCTTCAGTGGAGTGGCGGAGCGGAGAGCGTGACCCTGAACCCCCCAAAAACCCAAACCCTTCAAAATGGCGAGACAGACTCCCCTTCCCGGCCAAACACACCGCCATGTCAATGTCACCGACTCGACACCTCAGCTCCTCAGCCCGCTGCTGCTGAGATAGGTAAAACACACCCACACACGTCTGTATGTCTCTCTGCCTGGCTGCGTGCCTCTCTGTCTACATGCCTATCCCTCCCTCCCTCCCTCCCTCCCTCCCTTCCTCCCTCAGCTCACTTGAACCGATTCAGCAGCATGGCGGTGATCTCCGGTTCTTCCAGGGAGGACAGCATCGCCAAGCTCCTATTCTTGATGGCGCGACGAGCGCAGGCGGCGGCGGTGAACTGATAGGGCTGGTCCGCGGGGTCGTCGTTGGCCTTCACGAGCGCCTCCAGCTCCGGTCGCAGCTGCAGAGCCAACTGCTTCACGACATACATACGCACGTGGTGCAGCAGAGGCGGGTCGCCGCCGGGGATGCAGTCCAACAGCTCGTTGCCTGATCAGGAAACGAGAGCACGGCAAGAGAGAAAAAAAGGTGTTGGGGTCGTACAGAGCCGGGGTGAGGTGCAGGACGAGTAACAAATAGGTCAAAGCTAGGGGGCCCCCCTCACCAGGGGGGACGAGGAGGTGCAGGAGGGGGGTAACGAGGGTTGGTGTTCAGCTTCTGGAACTGTGCCTGATTAGCAGTGTAAGGACACTTACGAAATTACAGTGTTCTGTAAAACTTATCGATGTGCGCAAATAAGCAAGGAAAAAGGCGTTTTTTGGGGGGTTTGTACTTTTTATGTGTGCGTGTGTGTATGTGTGTGAGGGAGGGGGATATCTTGCCGGGGGGAAAGTGCAAGTCACTTTAGCAAGCACATCATTGCGAGAGTAAACAACAGCGCGGCACCAAACGTGTGTGCGCCAACCCACCATAAAAAAGCCCAGCCACACCATTGCGCCATGCTGCGTGTCTGTATGTCAAGTGTATCACAGCGACATACATACATGCAGGGAGATCCGCTACCTACCGGTTGGCAGGGACACCGCCATCGCCTTGAAGCTGCCGTCCAGAGCCTGTTCGGGGGAGTTTGGGGGTTGGGGCGGAAGGGGAAGTGCGACGTCACGGCGGACGTCACGACGGCGGCACGAGGCGAGTACGGACGTCGCCGGAAAGGGCACCATGCCATCACCCTCTGCTGCCGTGTCCTAGACACGAACACACCAGCCGCCTCCACGGCCACACCCCTTTTTTCACCTACTGGCCTCAGTCTCCCGTTCCCCCCTCCTCTTCCCCCCCTCCTCTTCCCCCACCTCCCTCCCCCTACGCGCAATCCCGAGAGCCGGTATCCCGGGGGCCCGGGGGGACCGACCTACCGGGTCAGTCAGCACAGCTCGGAAGGCGCCGACGTACGCATCAGACACCCCACCAGCTGCTGTGCAGCGCTCCGCCACGGCCTGCGAGAGCCACACAGAGCAGCGAAACTCCTCAGAAGGCGCTGTAACCGCCGTAACAAATAGGGTGAACCACCTCCTGCACCACCCTTAACGCCGCCGTAACGAATGATAAATGTTGTCATTTAGGATTTCTCGAGAAAGGCTTACCAGGGTGTTGTGGGCGCCGCCGCCAGCAGCCGCCGCCGCGTACAGGTTGAGCAGCAGCTTCCGGGCCAGCCGCTGGCCCGCCTCCCACCTGGAGAGAGAGGGGGAGAGAGGGAGAGGAAGGCGAGTCCAAGATAATTTTACCTGCTTTTTTACACACAAAAAAAAATAAAAAGTGAAACCCAGGTAGTGTTGTACGGCCACAGTGGAGAAACGAAAAGAAATATCTTTCCAAACCCAAAACTTCACAGCCCTTCGGGTATGTATGTATGTATACAAAATCCCCGAAGGGGCCCAATACATACACGACTTCAAAAGTGGCGGCGTCTCCGAGCAAAATACGACATGTTGCGCCATCATGCGCGCGAGAGAAGCATTTTGGCCCACAAGCCCTCGCACCTGTTGAAGGGGTCACTGTCGTGCGCCAGGAGGAAGAGCAGCTGTTCGTCTGTCTGTCCCTCCACCGTCATCTTGACGGGGGCGGAGAAGCCCCGCAGCAGGGAGGGCACGGGCTCCACGTCCACACCCGCGAAGGTGAAGGCGGCCTCCGCCTCCTCGAACCGGAGGACACCTGTACGGCGGTTGGTTAGTTCGGTATGTGGTGGTTGGTTAGCTCGGTGTGTGGTAGTTGGTTAGCTCGGTGTGTAATACCGGTGTGTAAATGTAGCAGAATTGCACTCTTGCTTCATCTGCTCTAGATTCTCTGTTTTACTTCACAACCTTAACCTTATCTACAACTCAATCTCAGTATTATTTATATTATTGACTTATTGAGCTCATGAAGGATTTCGATCGGATTACACACCAAGTCAATGCACCAGGAACCAGTGACCGGTGCAAGATTCCATATAAGCAATGATGACATTAACAGCACCATAACGGTCCCGCCAACCCCGAGGAGATGTACATACATAGTGCACATGGCGCTCATTTGACTGCCCCTTCAGACCACCCTCCCCACTGGGACGACCACCACTACACCGCTCACAGCGTCAGTTGTCACGCACATACAACTTGCTACGTCAACGGCGATGGTGGGTCCAACTCACCCGTAGTCCCAAGCTCAGTCACAGCGCCGTCAGGGCCACAGAGACGGAGAGGCAGGTCGGAACCTTGAGGGGGGAGGGGGAAGGGGGAAAAGGGGGAGGGTTGGGGGGAGAAAGGGGGAGGGGGGGAAGGGGGAGGAGGGTTGGGTTGGGGGGTGGAGGGGGTGGGGTTGGGGGGTGGAGGGGGAGGAGGGAAGGGGGGAGGGAAGGGGGAGGGTGGGAAGACGAACCACGAAAGGCAGGCGAAGGGGGCCCGTGAACCACAAGGGGGCCCCCCGGATTATACGACGAGGCACAAATCGTTGAAGGATACAACCCCCGGCTGACGTGTGATGTCGCAAGTACAAATGTGTGTGCGTCTGTATGTGTGGACG